TATATATATTGTAACGGCCCTGGAAATTTAAATGAAATATATGTATTAAAAATCTCAAATGCGGAAGCGTAATAAAAATTTTGATTAACATCTCTTACACAATAACCAAAACGTACTCAAAACATGAAAGAACAAACTAACTAAAAGAAATACTCGAAATAAGAACTATAAATATAACTATGGAGTCTTTAGGCGTTCCCTTCGCCGTCTTCCTGTGGAACGGGCTCGGGAACAACATCTTCCTGATCTGAAATGGTTAAATAAGGAATGAGCTACACCAGCCCAGTAAAGACATCACACTATCTCACCGCCACAGAAGTAAAGGTGGGTAGAAAACAAAAATGACCAATGGAGCATAATTTATAACGAACTCGTTTATTGACATAAAAACCTTTACTGTCCACTTATCTCGGTGAGATCCATGAAAACAACATACGAAAATAATAACCTTATAATATCATGAAATCATACACACTTTATAACATAACACAGATCATACATTTACATTTCAATCATCAGGAAACAGATTTCCTCTTTTACCAGCCTACTAGTATCCTTGAGGATCCATAGGGGGTCCCCGCTACATGTGAATCATTAACATCTACAACCTGATTCCAGGGCCGTCCCCATACCCCGTCCGGTATGGGCGCCAAAACCATGAACCTCAATACCCCGTCCAGTATGAGAGTGAAACGGGTCGTCCCCATACCCCGTCCGGTATGGGCGCCAAAACACATAAGGTCTCCATACCCTGTCTGGTATGAGAGACCACGTTCCCGGTAGGGTTCCCTACGGACCCGGTCCATCCACCATCTCCCAGGATATCTAATCAGACTATCCATATTTTCCACTTATCAATTCACATAACCTTTTTGCCATTTTTCTTGGTCTTAATCATCCAATCATACACAATATGTAAACCAGTAATTGACACCAAACAAGACAACACAGTATCGGGTTAATCATAATATCAACCATAATAAAAGAAACTATGATTTATGCATACAAGACCATAAAATAAATACATCAACCATCATGCTGCATTTAATACTGAAAAATAGATCAAACAATAACAGGCCAATACTGTATCAGACTCGGGCCCCATTGGCAACCTAAATCAATTATACATCTATAAAGTCACACAGTACAGTTTAATTATTTTTTTAGCTTTAATACCGTGATAGAAAATAGAGTGAGGGGTCCTTACTTGTTTCGGAGTCTGAATTCGACTCTACAGTGCGCCAACAGACTGTCCCTAATTTTCCTGAATTTTTTTCTGGAAAAACTGAAACGCACTACTGGTACGTAGGGCCAACATACTGTCCCTAATTTTCCTTAATTTTTTGCATGTGTCCCAAAAAATCCCAAATCAGACCTAGGGCCCCTTTCGGCCAATATCGAAATTCTGGCACGGTGGCTCCGCCGTGCTCCGGTGATGCGGTGGACTCAGCATCGAAAAACGAGCCAGGGGGAGAAACTTTACCTCGATCGGCAGTCGAAAACTTCCCTGGTGCAGCGGCGGGTGGCGGCGGCCGGCTCCTTCGGCATCTGGTTCTTCTTCTCCGGCGAGGCAATGGCGGCTAGGGTTTTGTGGTCAGGTGTGGGTGGGGTTATTTATACCTTTGCCTTTTAATCTCAACCATCCATCAAGATTAAATGTGGACCGTCCGATCGCGATTTAATTGGGATTAAATATGGACCGTCCATCGCGATGCAATCTGAGTCGTCCGTGCCTGATTAAATCTGGGCCGTCCGTGCGCATATTTGATCTGGGCCGTCCATGCGCGCAGGAACTGATCTGGGCCGTCCGATCGCACGCACGCGGATCGCCGACGTGGCCCGTCCCCTGGTTAGTGTTTTCTTACCACGCGGCGTGTCCTGGTTGGCCGGGGCTGCTAACCGGGCCGCTGACGTGGCTGCTGGCATGGGTGCTGACGTGGCACAACTTTTCTAAATTGCATTTTGACCCCCGGTTTTCGATTTTCTTTTCAAAAACACCCCCAGAATCTAAATTTTCACCCATTGTTTCCAAAATCAATTTTAATTAAATCCAAATAATATTTTTACCAAATTTTATCATTATTATTATTTTTATTTTCATTAAATTAAATTAAATTAAATCAAATTAAATTAATTAAAAATATAAAAAAATTCAAATAAATAAAAATAAAAATAGTAAGATAAAAATTAAATTACTTGGGTGTTACATATATGTTCTTCCCCGTGTTGTCTCCTAGAATGATCTTACATTGATTACATTAACATATATGAATACAATGGCATATAGCTTCATGTTTATTATTATTATTATTATTATTAGGTTAAATTATAAATGTTGATCGAGTCTAATTCTTTTTAATCGCTCTAGTTTTTTTTAATAACAATAAAAAAGAAGTATATAATTACTAAAATAATTATTTTTATAATTTAATTAATTTAAATTCATAATAACCAGATCTCAGTTCAATATTGAAGTTTGAATAATCCTGATTTCATTTGTATCTAAACGTGGGTTAATTCACGATTCTTGAGATCCTAGCACAGTATAGTAGACTTTGCTGTGTATGCTTAGTTTAGTTAGCTTAAGTAAGTTCAGATTCAAGCTATCCAATAATAAATTATGTATATATACATATGTATGTAATCTTACACGTAATATGTTTATCCATTTACATATATTTAAATAGAAGTAATTAACTTTATTAACCGCTTAATTTTGTATAAATAAATTGATAAATTTTATAAATATTTTAAAATTTTCTAAAATAAAATTTCAAAGTGTACGAATAATATTTATTAAATCTTCTAGTTTATTTTTATTCGTAGAGCACATAATATATGAATTTGTGGTTTAATGCAACAAAAAACTTCAATTATAACATGTGCTTAAGTTATAACATGCATGTATTTGCTTACTATTTTGGAAGTGTTTTATTGTAGAAAATTATTCTATACGTTTTCATATTTATAAATTCATCAACTTTTTAATAATAGATATATATATATATATATATACACACGCGCACAGTCTTTTTGACACATGCTAACTATAGACGTGTTTTTGCCGTTAAAATATATAATTAATAATGATTTAGATATATTAATTTTTTCTATTTTAATCTTCAATTTGAAATATATTACATAAATTATAACAAATTATGTATATTGGATATTTAATAATAGATATAGATACACACACACACACACACACACACAGTCTTATTGACACATGCTAACTATAGACGTGTTTTGCCGTTAAAATACATAATTAATAATAATTTAAATATATTAATTTTTCTATTTTAATCTTCAATTTGAAATATATTACATAAATTATGCATATTGGATATGACTAATATACGTTACTCAACTATATCCTTAATTTATATAAATTTTGTTTTATAATATTAATTACAATATGCAATAAATAAAAATATCACAGACAATGTATAAGTTGGTAATTATAAATTTGAAGATATATTTTTCTGTAAAAATAAATAAAACAATCATATAAATTAAATATTATTAATGAAACTAATTTAATCATTTAGTATGTAATATTAAAGAAGAATGCAGAATGTATATATTAATTATTTTAAAATTAGAACGCGTAAATAATTATGCCATGAATATGATTTTTATAAGTACATAATTAAAAATATAAAAAAAACAATTCAATTAATTATCATTTTAAATAATAATATCATTATTATATTTCAGCTAGTTAAAATAAATATGAACTTCAACATATATGTATGTATATATAAATTTTCAGCTAGTTAAATTAATTATATGTCATGAGATCAGTACCTACATCAATACACCTACAAATATAACTCTCATGTAACTAAGCGAAAAGGTGAGAAGAAACTGTAGAAGCAGCGAGCTGGATAAGAAGCCTGGGGGCTGTTGCTGTTAATTTAAAATATACGTGGTCGTAATGATCAAAGGACAATGATGATCGAGAAGACTTGGATGGAATGAGATCAGAATTAGGTTTTCTTTTGCGAAGTGAAATAAACTTCATTAAATATAAGATTAATTAATATATGAATTGCAGTAGGAAAGCTTCTTAGGATGGCTCAGGAAACAGAGGAGGCGGTGTCGTTTTAGACTTAGGCTTATCATGTTTTTCCATGTTTCTCACCTTTGCTTGTTGTAGAAAGAGCGACTGAAAGGGAATAGGCTTATAATATTGAGGGTTTCGTGTATGAATGTAAGAGTTACGGAATATATATATATATATATATATATATATGATCTCTATCTCTTGGTGATAATATATAAAATTTTTTTAGTGCAGATGCTGGCAGAAGTTCCCAAGAAATCCATGATCTCAGAATTACCCATCTTCCATATCGATCACATGAAGCTTGGCTCTTTCTTCACAAGAAGTTTATTGCTAGCTAAAATTTTAAATTACATAATTGAAAATACAATTATTTTAATGTTAACTTGAATGAAACTTAATCTTAATGGAGCTGAAGCTGTTTGAAGCTGAATAGTCAGATCTCGAATAGAAACTTAATGCTGGCATGAATGGTTTATGTGTTTGTGTGTGTCGAGAGAAACTGACGCTGGACGAAATTGGAATCTCAGATCACTTTGCATGAGCTTTGCAAGAATGGTTTACTTTGGCTGGCTGTTTTTGCATGGTTTTCTTCTGCTTTCTGTCTTTACCGGCAGTTCAGAGCAATTTTATTTCACTCAAATTTATCTTAATTTCAAAAGAACCTGGATGTTAGTATTGACGTGAATTATCAATAAAATCTTACCTATTAATTGTCGATAAGATCATCTCCAAGAAATTCTACGCTTGCAAATAAAAAAAAACTTTTTTTCTCTCCACATGCATTAGCTAATACTTAATTATTTTGTATATAGTATTATATAAATAAAATAATTATAAACATATCTCTTCGCAAGAGAGCTCCAGCGCCTATATATAAATGCTAGTTTTGGGACCAAACGACTCACAGCAAGCCAAAAATTAAGCAAGTATGACAATTCAAGGAGGGTATCAATATCTCTTCCTTCTAGTTCTCGTTCTCTCCTCAGTGTGTATTAATGAAGCTCGCACTATACCTTTTTCTATTATTAACGATAAAGATATCGGTTCTTTCAAAATTCTTGATGAGAATAGTTTGAACTGTCGTACTTTTCCTAATAATTTTGTCTGGGGTACTGCTACATCAGCTTTTCAGGTATTATTTTTAAATATATAATTTTTAAAGCTATTAATTCTATAATTCATTTTATTTTTTACATAAATTTAATGAACTTGTACGCGTGCTTATTTAAAAATTTAAATACATACAATAAAAAAATTCTAAAAAAGTAATAATTTTATACAAAATGATAAAAAATCATACCGTACAACTGTGTCCGCACATTTATATACATATAACACCAGATTATATTTTGATAATTGTATAATTTTATATCAATTTATATTTTGTATTTAATTTTATTCTTTCAGATTGAAGGTGTGACCCATAGAGCATTTAACATATGGGATAGTTTTACTCACACATATCCAGGTATATATTTTTATACACGCACAAATACAAATATATATATATAGTTTCTCAAGCAAAAACTTAGAGTAAAATCTTTTTTATTATATATATATGAATAATCACTTGGATGTATGTGTTGAAATTTTAGAAAAGTCAGATGATGGAAGTACTGCAGATCTTGCTTGTGATTCATACCATCTTTATAAGGTACCATTAATTTAGAAGAAAAAGGCCTAAACAAGATCTCAAAAAATTTAGTAGAATTTTTATGATTTTTCACACTATTAATTTCTTATTCTATAATAATAGGTGGATGTTGAGATGATGAAAAACATGAATGTCACTGGCTATAGATTTTCAATTGCTTGGTCTCGAGTATTGCCAAGTAAGACGACTATCTCCCTTTACAATTGCTAGGACGTATATTTTCTTGTTAAGCAAACTATTCCAGTTGTTGGTACAATTTTTTCTAACATAATTTGTTTGTTTTTAACAATTAATACTACTGTCAGAGGGAAGGATAAGTGGAGGAATAAATAGAGATGGAATCCAGTACTACAACAACCTTATCGACGAACTCTTAGCTAAGGGTTGTCATTTTATTTTTTTTTAGTAATTAATTATATTTTATTCGTGCATATAGTAAGAATATTCTTCGTATTTTAATATTATTTATTTTTAATTATATTGTGATTATATGCAGAAATAGAACCTTTCGTGACTATTTTTCACTGGGATCTCCCTCAAACTTTACAAGACATGTACGGAGGGTTTCTGGATCGTAACATTGTGTAAGTAATTTCAACATAAAGTTTATTGCTTGCCGTGCAGGAAAGAAGAATCGAGTAAAAAAACAGACTTTGACACTCTTAATTTGCTATGGAATAATTAACAAAATATTATGAAATCTTATATTAATTATTATATGTTCTTTTGTGATATTAGGTCTGATTATCGGGATTTCGCAAATTTTTGCTTTAAGGAGTTTGGTGATAAAGTGAAGCATTGGATAACATTTAATCAACCGTATAGCGTTGCATATAATGCTTACGGAATAGGTGAACAAGCACCTGGTCGATGTTCTGCTTGGATGGACAATAATTGCACAGGAGGACATTCGGGAGTCGAACCATACGTTGTAGCTTATCATGAACTTCTTGCTCATGCAGAAGCTGTTCAATTGTATAAAAGAGAATATAAAGGTTATAATTAACTACTGCGAGAATATATTACAATTTTTAAAAATTTATATAGTTTTTGTATATCTTAAAAGTATTTATTTATTATGAAGCTAAAATTTTATTTTTGTTATAATATCTTTTGTATAGTTATTTATTTATTTTTTAAAAAAGAAAGATAAAAATATTGCAGAACTCAGAAGGTGAGATAGGTATCACATTGATAGCTACTGTATGATCCACTACAA